TTACGTACCAGTATGGAGAAAGAAACTAGCTGCAGAGTTGTTGGCTTGGGATTTTGAGCCGTAGATTGTGCTTTGCTCGTATTTTTTTATATTTTTATAACGTTATGTAGTCACTTGGTTGTTTTGACTTTGGAGTAGCAGCTATTTTGGAGTTTGAATACAATTTCAATGTGCATATTTTCCATTGTCTTCGATAACTTTAAAGTTTAGATATTGTCCATGTCAGGTTATTGAGTCTTACATGTACAAGCCTACATGTTTTCCATTATCTTCCATTGTCATGTTGTTGCAATGTAGGATGCACACTGCTATCTTTATTTGCATAACGACTTAGAACTCGTGATGACCACACATAATGACTCCGAAGTCGTTTCAGTTAAAATTGATACTAAAACAATTTAAAACTCGTTCCTGAGACAAAAAAATGATATTCATATCGTTGCAATGTTAAATGCACACTGCTTCTCTAATTTTGCGTAACGACTTAGAAGTCGTTATGACCACACATAACGACTTATAAGTCGTTTCAGTTAGAATTAATACTAAAACGATTTCGACCTCATTCCCAAGACACAAAACGACATGAATATCGTTCCAACGTTAAATACACTGCTCTCTGATCTTGAGTAACGACTTAAAAATCGTTATAATCTCACATAACGACTTATAAGTCGTTTCAGTTAAAATTGAAACTAAAACGATTCCTACATCGTTTTCGAGACACAAAACGACATTCATATCGTCCCAATGTTAAATACACACTGCTTCTCTGATTTTGCGTAACGACTTAGAACACGTTATGAACCTAAATAACGACTTAAAGGTCGTTTCAGTTAAAATTGATACTAAAACGATTTCTAACTCGTTTCATGGACACAAAACGACATTAATATCGTTGCAATGTTAAATACACTGCTTCTCTAATTTTGCGTAACGACTTAGAAGTCGTTATGACCAAACATAACGACTTATAAGTCGTTTCAGTTATAATTAATACTAAAATGATATCGACCTCATTACCAAGACACAAAACGACATGAATATCGTTTCAACGTTAAATACACACTGCTTCACTGATTTTTCGTAACGACTTAGAACACGTTATGAACCTAAATAACGACTTCAAGGTCGTTTCAGTTAAAGTTGATATTAAAACGATATCTAACTCGTTTCTTGGACACAAAACGACATTAATATCGTTGCAATGTTAAATACACACTGCTTCTCTAATTTTGCGTAACGACTTAGAAGTCGTTATGACCAAAAATAACGACTTATACGTCGTTTCAGTTAGAATTAATACTAAAACGATTTCGACCTCATTTCCAAGACACAAAACGACATGAATATCGTTTCAACGTTAAATACACACTGCTTCACTCAATTCAATAGGATTGAATTGAGGGGCTGGAGAGCTACAGCGAAGGGCTCGTAACGACTTAGAACACGTTATGAACCCAAATAACGACTTAAAGGTCGTTTCAGTTAAAGTTGATACTAAAACGATATCTAACTCGTTTCTTGTACACAAAACAACATTAATATCGTTACAATGTTAAATACACACTGCTTCTCTAATTTTGCGTAACGACTTAGAAGTCGTTATGACCACACATAACGACTTATAAATCGTTTCAGTTAGAATTAATACTAAAACGATTTCGACCTCATTACCAAGACACAAAACAACATGAATATCGTTTCAACGTTAAATACACTGCTTCTCTGATCTTGAGTAACGACTTAGAAATCGTTATAATCTCACATAACGACCTATAAGTCGTTTCAGTTAAAATTGAAACTAAAACGATTCCTACATCGTTTTGGAGACACAAAACGACATTCATATCGTCTCAATGTTAAATACACACTACTTCTCTGATTTTGCGTAACGACTTAGAACACGTTATGAACCTAAATTGATATTAAAACGATTTCTAACTCGTTCCTGAGACACAAAACGACATTTATATCGTTCCAATGTTAAATACACACTACTTCTCTGATTATCGTTTCTTCTCGTTCAGAACGACATTGATATTGTTCTAGGGTAATTATTCCTGAAAGTTGATCCATCTCGTTTCTTTACAAATCTGACGAGTTCAAAATCGTTTCAGCTGAAATTATAAGTGCAACGACATCGGTATCGTTTCTTCACAGTTGAAATGACATTAGTATCGTTATGTTTAAAAATGGCGTTTCGACCATCCACGGCCACCGACATACGTCCCACCGTACGTATGACGATGAAAACAGGTCATCGAGCCGGCTCAATCTCACTCGAACGACGCTATGGTAACGTTTGTTATTTCATAGTTGTCTTTCACACTCAGATTGTTTCCATAGAAATAGGGTATCTCCGTTGTCTCTTTCGGACCATTCGAGAGCTACCAGCCCACTTGTTACGCTCTTTCGATCGTCATACACATTTCGGAGGTATGTGCAGCAATCGAGGACGGTCGAAATGTCGTTTCTAGGTATAACGATATAAATATCGTTATGTTCTTGAAAAAATGACTTTGAGGTCGTTTTAGATGTTTTACAAACTGAAACGTGTTAGAAGTCGTAAAATTATACAAGGAACGACATAAATATCGTTATGTACCAAGTAGTGAAATAACGTAACGTTGTCCATCTCGTTTCTTTACAAATCTGACGAGTTCGATATCGTTTCAGCTGAAATTATAAGTGCAACGACATCGGTATCGTTTCTTCACAGTTGAAACGACATTAGTATCGTTATGCTGAAAAATGGCGTTTCGACCATCCACGGCCACCGACATACGTCCCACCGTACGTATGACGATGAAAACAGGTCATCGAGCCGGCTCAATCTCACTCGAACGACGCTATGGTAACGTTTGTTATTTCATAGTTGTCTTTCACACTCAGATTGTTTCCATAGAAATATGGTATCTCCGTTGGCTCTTTCGGACCATTCGAGAGCTACCAGCCCACTTATTACGCTCTTTCGATCGTCATACACATTTCGGAGGTATGTGCAGCGGTCAAGGAGGATCGAAACGTCATTTTTAGGTATAACGACATTAATGTCGTTTCATCTGTGAAGAAATGATACCGATGTCGTTGTACTTATTATTCCAGTTGAAACGACTTCGAACTCGTCAGATTTGTAAAGAAACGAGATGGACAACGTTACGTTATTTCACTACTTGGTACATAACGATATTTATGTCGTTCCTTGTATAATTTTACGACTTCTAACACGTTTCAGTTTGTAAAACATCTAAAATGACCTCAAAGTCGTTTCTTCAAGAACATAACGATATTTATATCGTTATACCTAGAAACGACATTTCGACTGTCCTCGATTGCTGCACATACCTCCGAAATGTGTATGACGATCGAAAGAGCGTAACAAGTGGGCTGGTAGCTCTCGAATGGTCCGAAAGAGCCAACGGAGATACCCTATTTCTATGGAAACAATCTGAGTGTGAAAGACAACTATGAAATAACAAACGTTACCATAGCGTCGTTTGAGTGAGATTGAGCTGGCTCGATGACCTGTTTTCATCGTCATACGTACGGTGGGACGTATGTCGGTGGCCGTGGATGGTCGAAACGCCATTTTTAAGCATAACGATACTAATGTCGTTTCAACTGTGAAGAAACGATACCGATGTCGTTGCACTTATAATTTCAGCTGAAACGATTTCGAACTCGTCAGATTTGTAAAGAAACGAGATGGATCAACTTTCAGGAACAATTACCCTAGAACAATATCAATGTCGTTCTGAACGAGAAGAAACGATAATCAGAGAAGTAGTGTGTATTTAACATTGGAATGATATAAATGTCGTTCTTTTTCTCAGGAACACGTTTGAAATCGTTTTAGTACTAATTTTACCTGAAACGACTTCTAAATCGTTAGTTTTGGTCATAACGAGGTCTAAGTCGTTTCTCAAAATCAGAGAAGCAGTGTATTTAACATTGAAACGATAATAATGTCGTTTTGTGTCCAAGAAACGAGTTAGAAATCGTTTTAGTATCAATTTTGGCTGACGCGACTTAGAAGTCGTTATGTTTGTCCATAACGATATCTAAGTCGTTACTCAAAATCGGAGAGGCAGTGTATATTTAACATTGAAACGATATAAATGTCGTTTTGTCTACCAGAAACGAGGTAGGAATCGTTTTAGTATCAATTTTAACTGAAATGACTTTTAAGTCGTTGTTTATTCTCATAACGAGTTCTAAGTCGTTACGCAAAATCAGAGAAGCAGTGTATTTAACATTGAAAATCTGAATGTCGTTTTGTATCCCAGAAACGAGGTATAAATCGTTTTAGTTTTAATTTTAACGGAAACGACTTTTAAGTCGTTATTTATGTTCATAACGAGTTCTAAGTCGTTACACAAAATCAGAGAAGCAGTGTATTTAACATTGAAACGATATTAATGTCGTTTTGTATCCCAGAAACGAGGTAGAAATCGTTTTAGTTTTCATTTTAACGAAAACGACTTTTAAGTCGTTATTTATGTTCATAACGAGTTTTAAGTCGTTACGAAAAATCAGAGAAGCAGTGTGTTTAACCTTGAAACGATATGAATGTCGTTTTGTTTCCCAGAAATGAGATAGAAATCGATTTAGTATAAATTTTTAGGGAAACGACTTTTAAGTCGTTATTTATATTCATAACGAGTTCTAAGTCGCTCAGAAAAATTAGAGAAGCAGTGTGTATTTAACTTTGAAACGATATGAATGTCGTTTTGTGTCTCAGAAACGATTTATAACTCGTTATGTTAATCTGTACAATTTTTGAACTGGAACGACATTCATGTCTACTGTAACGACATGAACGTAGTTTGCATTCCCTGTGAGAAGATAGGAACATGAATACCTAAAATACTAAAATTTGATTCCAATGGTACAAAAATATTTCAATAACACAATGAGTACAAAATATAATAAGTGATTTCATTCAGTTGATATAATAAGTACGAAGTCATACAGTTACAAAATAAGATAGTGTTACAACATTAATGTTCACTACTAGCTGCTTGGCCCGTGCAAGTGGATCGAACATGACCAGTTTTCTTGCACCTGCTGCACTTACGAGCCACACGCGTCTCTCCGGCTGACCTTTTCCTCTTTTTTGATGGTCGTCCGCCCTGTCTTCGTACCAATGGTGGAAATACTTCTCTGGCTATGACATTCTTAGGAATTTGCCATTCGACCTCGTTCGGCAAAGGATATACGAATTTAGAATAAGCTTGCTTCCAACAAATACTAGTGTAAAAGGGGGTACATAATTTATAGCCCTCGTCTCCTTTAAACCTTGCTGCAGCAATTGCACGCGCACATGGAAACTTGTCCAAATCAAATCTTCTACACGTACATGTCATTTCGTAAAAATCCACAAGGTGGTGTTCTAAATTGTCACCAACTTGATAAATATCCGGAGAAACCTGATTTACCTCCAACCCATTTGACTCATTATATGTCATGCACATCTTTTTCTCTAATGCTGGCGTGAGTTGGGTCATACATTTTTCTGCTTCAACATGTCTTTCAGAAAACCACCTTTGTAGTATCCCACGAATATATTCTAGTAAACCAACTATGGGAAGTTCTCGAGCACTCTTCAACAAACCATTTATAGATTCCGCATTATTTGTAGTCATGATATTGTAACGTATCCCGGTAAAATGCGCTCTAGCCCAACATTGAAAATCTTCTTCTAATAGGTACTCTTTGATGCCCTCCTTTTTACTGCATAGAGCTGCCATGTAGAACTCAAATTCGGTTACAGTATAAGCCTCTGACGCTGCCCTAAACAAAGTTGCAACATCACACCGTGGAAAATTTGTCTTCAAGTTCTTTTGCAAGTGATATGTACAATTACCATGATGAGCAAATCGAAACACATTTCTAACTCCATTTTTGATGCACTTTGCACGGTCAGATATAATCACAAGGTCATCCGTATCACCTGTTATTAACCGCAACTTCTGAAAGAACCAAGTCCAGGATTCATCATTTTCCGAATCAACTACTCCCCTTGCGAGTGGAAATATTTGAAAATTTGCATCCTGAGAAGTTGCTACGAGTAGAGTACCTTTCATTCTCGATGTCAAGAATGCACCGTCTACAGAAATTACCTTTCGCATTGAGTTTACGAACCCATGTATACTTGGTCCCAATGCCATAAAAAGGTACTTGAATCGCCGATCATCATTAGTATGAATGAATGTCAGTGTACCAGGATTTTGCATCTCCAAAACATGACAATACGCTGGCAATTTTGCATAACTCTCACGGGGTTTCCCATGAATCAGTCCACAAGCAAAATTTTTAGCCATGTACGCTTTAGTATAGCTTACAGTTATGCCGAACTCTCGATGAATGTTATTAATAATGTCCCTTGGTCTGTAAACTCGGTTGACATCTTCATACTTAGGAGCGATGTGGTTTTCAATAATCATATATGAAGCATGCCTATGATCTCTGTGACGAACACTCATGGAACAAGAATGATGACCATTGTACTTTCGAACTTCGAAAATGAGACTTTCTACGATCTTGGTTGCCCGTAAGCGCCACTTGCAATTTTCATCAATACAAACAATAGTATAAGTGTTCTTATTTGACTCCTTAACTTTGTACTCAAACTGGCACTTCACAGCTAGCAACTGTAATTTTGATATTAGGTCATATTTCGATGGAAACAACTGGTTGACTCGCACATCTAATCGTTCCGAAATTTTTACTGATGTCTCGTAACAGAGCGAACTTACACTTTCAGATACAATCTGAGTACATTCAACATCATTACCATTCACTATATCCCTACCGCAAGGTTCATGCGTGCGTAACTCAAAATTATTGTCATCTGCCATGGGAGAATTAACTTCGTCATCTACCCTTCGAGGACTATCTTCACTTATGTCAAAACCATTACAATCTACAAATATTCCATCACCATTGTCATCATTACCATCGTTGTCTGCTCGATCTTGTTCCTCCTCGTTGTTCATATTTCCAATTTGTTCTCCACCATCTATTACTAATAAACATCCTTCATCACCAAAATCTTCCTGATTCTCAACAACTTCATTTAAAATACTAACACAAAGAAAAGTTTCTGTACAGACAGATATAAACCACTTTACGTTGTTGTCACAATCAATTATGATTGATGCAGCTGGAGCTTTAGACATTATCGAAACAAGAGCTAAAATCTCCATTTTGTATAGACTCGTATCGATATTCAATGCCTCCTTAACTTTATCATATAGTTCCATGTAAGAAATTGTTTTTGCAACAAGAATAGGTATTGTTTTCCCTTTGCCATTTCCAGAATACTTCCATTTCCATCCACCTTCAACTGTCTGCTCATATTCAATTGGATAACAAACCGATATCCATACCATGTCCATGGTGTCCATAACCTGTAACTCAACATATAAATTTCATCAAATTTCAAACGTCATACAGTATTGATAATGATATGTACGTTGTCATGGATTTCAGAAAACGATATCTATGTCGTTCTCAGTTTCATAAAACGATATCAATGTCGTTCTGTACCGTAAAAATCAAATACACGTTTCACGTGAAAACAATGTGAAAAAAGCCAATCATCCTTCACCACTTTACATTTCACTTCAATTAATACTAAGAAATACAAATAAGGGGTAATGAGAATAAGATTGGGAAGTGACCCATTTAAAGATCCAATCAAATTATAAAATAAATTCAAAATCATTATTGAAAAATGAACACCACAAACACATATACAACAACATGAACGGATGATTCAAACTAATGGAGAAAGAAAGTGGCTCAAATATCGAAAATTTACCATACCCTCTCTTCTTCTCCAAATGCCCAATAAAAATATAGCAAGACTTTATTATTCACTTCAACCAAATGAATGTTCAAGGGAATGAGAATGTAGATTTTGTGATTTCATTAAGTAGAGAAGAAGATGATGATAAGAAATCAGCATGGAGGCATCTACAGTGGTTGAGTCGTTCTTAGAAGAGGGAGGGAAGGAGATTAGGGTTGAAAGGAAATTGAAATGAAAATAAGGGCAATATCATCATTTCACATACAAGGATATTTTAGTCTTTTACAAATTCTATTTTCCATATTTAATAACTTTAGGCCTTTCAACTAAAAGTCTTAGTTGTTGATCTTTTTGAACAAATGTTTAGTTTGACCAAGCCTTTTAAATGAATCCCCCTATTTAATACGGTTTTAGAAGGTTTTATTCTTTTTAGGGTAATTACTTATTTATTTTAATTTTTGTTTAGAGTGATGGGCCTAATTAGCCCTTTTATCTAAAGCCTCAAACTCGAGTAAACTGAATTTTGGTAAAAATACTATTCTTTTGAGTTCAGTCAATCCCAATAGATCCTAAACAAGGGGAATCTTTAAATTAAAAAAGAAAAAAACCAACCTGGAGGGACCCCATCGCCCCACCCCTAAAGCTTTGTGAGTGAGGTAAATCGTGGGATGTGTCCCAACAGACCAGAGAACAAGAGCTAGTTGTACACTGCTCCTACAAGGAGTCCAATTTCATGTCTCAGGAATCGAACCCCCACACTGCGGTTGCCAGTAAGGCGTGAGATAACCTCACTCCTGTCATTTACACCACTGGACTATACCCCAAGGGACGAATCTTATTATATTATTTAACATTGAAAGAAGTCAGTGTTGAGAATGAGAGAATGATGGACAAATATAACATTTTTAAGGTTGAAAATTAAACAAAAAAAAATTTAATTAATAATTTTCATGCAAATAAATTCTAAACAATTCAATTGCCCAGAGTTTTCCTTTCCATCCAAATTCTATACTCGTAATCAAACACACCCTTAGACTATTTTTATATGCATTCCATTCAATTATTTCAATGATTTTTAAATTGTTAATATTTGAATTATTTTAACTCATCTACCAAAATAAATTCACCGTTATCATTTCTATCAGTATTTTAGAATTTCAATTAATTGAAATTTGTTTTCCAATAATTAAATATTTTTACTATTTGTCACACGTGGTAATTTTTTTTGATATTTTGAGGAAATAATCTTGTTGATTTAACAATGATATCTGAGCCATTTAAATATTTCTATAGAAAATATTACGTAATTATAAAAATTATTGAATTTTTTTCAGACATAAAATTCAAACTAGGTAGCTCAAATCTGCGAATACATCACCTTCAATATATATGTCACAAATTCATCTTGCTTTTCATGTTACGCGACTTTTGTGCTAAATTGTAATCTATAATCATGGCATGTTGAATATAATACACACTCGGTTTTACAATTAGTTCTCAATTTGGACAAGAATCTCAACCTATGAATCATTCAAAAGCTTCCTTCACCCTACACTGGGTAAAAGCCTAAAAGACACTTCGAATAATTTTCTACTGGATAAAATTTTTAGAAATAGATTTATCTAAAATTCTTATTCCAGAAGTGAAAAGAAAAAGTATTCCATGGTTTCCCTGTTGATGATGTAGCATTTTTACACAACTTAACAGAAACACACTAAACTTCGATCATTGTGTCTGCAGAATTTAGCTGCGGCAAAATCATCCCAGCAAATCATAGAACAAAAATTTTCACAACTGCACAAATCCACAAGACCACAATGTTAACTGTAAAAAGTAATCCCAAAGTCAAATACACAAGACGTTAATAACTTCATTTAAAATTTCTTTCTGTAACAATTCACACTTATACTGAGCTTTCTTTTACCAATTACCATTACAATATCCAGTGAAACAAAGTCAAAACTGATATTTGAGAGGATTGCGTGTATCAAGCCAAATATACAAGATGAGGATTACGTCCCGAAACAACTAGAAAATGCTTTACAATTTGCTTACTTGGTCGAGACATATTCAACAAGATGATAAAGTGGAGAGGAAGGGGATAAATTCAGTGAGGTCGATGCTTACTAAACTAACAAGATGTCCTCTCCATTGTAAGGTAGTTTAAACCTCGGGAGCCTATGGATGCCGGCGATTCCTGAAAAATCAAGCAAATGAAAACAGTTACTGTACAAATGCAATTGTGTCAACATTTAGTTCTTCAGGACAATGAACACAATAATTCATAAATTGAAGCGAAGATTATATTCCCTTGACTTATAATCAGTGTAACATCTTTTTATACTCCTTCCTCTTTAACATCTCTCCTATCCTACAAAGCCAGTAACTCTTTCCAGTAATACGTACTAGGTGAGTTTTTTCAAATAGTCCTGGCAGGACGTAATATTCATTTTTTGGCATAAAATGCACATTATGAACCATGATAAGATGCAGGTAGGTTATGCATGACCATGATCATATAAACATGTGTGTGTATTTTTTGGTGCCAACAATTAAGAATTGTTTTCCCCTACTCGCTGCATCAAAAACCAAATCACAAGCTTCCAATAAAAAAAGAGCAATTCTAGTAAGATATGTAATATTAATACCTTTAACTAATTGTATGTATGTATGTATGCATGCAATTACAAATATGATGCCCCCTTTCTAGTTTCTATGATATTAGAACGAAGCATTATGTGGGAAATACTTTTGAGTGAATTAGTAGCAAACTAGCAATGCATACTAATGAGTTTCTAGTATATTTATAGGTGTAACTAGCAATGCATGCTAATGAGTCTCTAGTATATTTATATGTACCATATTAGACAAAGGTCATTTCAAGGGATAAAGGACTTCAAGCAAAGTTCGCATTCTGAGGTTCTATCAAGTTCATGGCATGAGTATTTAGCATTCAAATTAAAGATGTGTAGATGCAGGAAGTAGAGATTTGAAAATGGGGAAAGTGTTGTCAATGTTCCTCACATGAGGAGCTGCTACTTTTGTTTTACTAGCAAAAACTGGTGGTTAGTTGCTGAGAGTTTGTAGTATGAACTTTTCTTCATTTGTAATCTTCACCCAAGTATAGGGTTTTGGAAATTTAGGCATAGAAGTGCCTAAAGTATAACCCAAAAAAATAACAAAAAACAGGGCTGTTCATTCACAGGGTTCAGACCTCAGTGGCTTTTTCATGTTCCTTTCTTTATCAAACAAGTCAAACATGAACATATTTCTCAGTTCATGGAGTAGTAAATGAGATAAGCCAAAGGCAAAAGAATACACAAACCAAACCCACAATTGCTCATATTGCGTGATCGTATAAACCAGAAATTTTATTTTGACATTACAAATACTAATTTCTTTGGTCAATCACACGAACTTCTAAACCCTAAAACTTTCTCCCAAGCCCTAGGCACACATCTATTGGTACACGCACTACTAATAAGATTTTCAGACCAATCGTCAAAAGCTAGGACAACGTTAATACAATATAGATTGTCGAAGCATGAACTTATTCACCTCACTAAAAGTGAATGAGAACCATTGACGGCTCCTCTGACAGCACCAACACGTCTGTTTCTTTGATCTTGTTCTTTGCCATTGCGCATCGCTGCAACTTCCTTCTCCATAGAAGCTACTTCTCTTCGCATTCTCTTGGCCTCAACTTCCATTGCCTTGTTCAATGTTTCAACCTTTTTTGCCAAAGCCTGAATGATTTGCACACCAAAAAGGCCCATCACTCAAAGGACAGAGAAGAACGGCGGGGGGGGGTTATAGGTCATACAAAAAATACAACAAAAAGAACACGGGAGCAAACCTCAATTGCATCATCTTTATCTTTAAGGCTTTGATCTTTGTCACGGCAAGCTTTTTGCAGAGTTAAAACCTCCTTCTGCAGCATATCATACAATGTTCCAGAAACGTAGTCTTCATTTTCCATTCTCAATTTTCCACTGGAAGTACTCTCATCCCCATTCTCCAGGGAAGTAATCCTTCCATTAATTTGAGTCTCTTTGCTGATACTGTCTGGTTGATCAACTTTCTCGTTTACATCTGAATCCAGCTTATCATCTACCGCTGGTCCACCGCCACTATCAAATGAGCTTGACAAATTCTTTGCTTGCTGTAACGATGCATAAGCACTACTTGTCCGGGATGACCCAGATTGAAAATTTGCTTTTTTAGATAGAAACCCATTGGAGGATGTCCTGTTCAAATTTTCTGCTCCTCCAAAAGACTGCCTTCTTGAAGTCCCATTGCTTACATTTCCTCCCCGCAATGACACACGGGAAGTGCCATTTTGAAATGCTTTAAGTCTTTCCTCTAAAACTTTAAATCGTAATAGGTATTTTTCCTATGCAACAAATCAACAAAGAGGATAGTTAGATCAGATGAACATTAGAAAAACAGTTATGACTTATGGGAGTAAAAAAATCTGTTTCCTCACCTTTAACTGGGCTTCTGACTTAGCTGCACGCTCTGCAATTGTCAGCTTATCTTTCAGGTGGTTCATTTCTCCCTGTGAAGGTTATCCAGAAAATTGAAACGATTAGATGGTGGCTGAAACTATTGACTCTACTGCATCTATTTTTGGATTACAATTCCATCTGGAGTCTCAAGTCAATCTCCACTTTCTTAAAACATACATGTCTTCTGCATGAGTTTCTAAAGCTATTCCACTTTAAAGAGAAGGATCCTACAAATCATTTCATGCCATATATCAGCTATCATACAAGCTACACAAAATACCCTTTTTGGAACTTATTAAGTCATTGAACTTGGGACAGAGGACTAAAATGGAATCTGTAATATGATAGATAGTTCAATTCTCGTGCTATTATTAAGTTGCAAATGTAGAAAGTAACCTAGCCAAAAGCAATAATTTTACAATCAAGCGTGGAAGCTAAATTATCTGCAAGAAGGACCTAATGTCTGAGCGATCTATGCAATTCACTATGACATATAGGATTACGGATTACAAGAAGATTTTTATCGTAACTATAGAAAAAACTAATAACATTTAAATTCTTCACTAGTTCATCTCGGGACAAAACCAAAAAGATGATTCAACCTTGTTGGATTTCCTCGACAGCAATGTGAGTTGTTTTTCAGTCTTAATTATCTTAATAGTTAATAACAGAAGTATCAAATTTCAGAGAACTTTTATAGCGAAAATGATAAAACATGCCTGATAGAATTTCCTTTCTTCAAGCCACTGCTTTACTGGCATTACTTTGTCATTGGCATCTTTCCAATCATTTGCAACAACCACAGCAACACGATTTGCAGAAACCTTAGCCCGAGCTAGTTCACGGTCTAGAATCCTTTTCTCTTCCTGCATAAGCTTTGACTTCTTAAGAAAGGTTCATCATATCAATAGATACGGTATTAAAAACCAGAATTATCCTTGTACATTTATTTCCTGCACTTTCCGCTGGTAATCACGTACAGCATTGGCTGCAGCGCCACCAGCCAAAACAGCCTCCTCAAGCTCACGAACAGTTTGAGTTAGCTTTTCAACCTCAGAAACCTTTTGCCTATGCATTTTGTCCAATATCTTATTCTCCTCCTAAATAAAATCAATTTGTGTAGCATAAGAATCTAAAGCAACAGCCATTAACTATTTTGCATGCTTTCATCTAAACAGGAAAAGCTCTAAAACAGGTAACCTGGCATATCTCGATTTGTTTCATCAGCTCTTGGTTTGTGTTCTGAAGATCATCAACCAAGGAAGCTTTTGCTAAAGCCATCTGAACTGAACGTTCTGCTTCCAACAGAGCAGCCTCCTTAGATTTAGTAAGCCGATCAAGTGCTTTGTTATCATCTTGTAGCTTTGATACCTAACGAAATATAAGTTCATGCAAGGCAATTAATTATAAAACTAAAAGTTCATTGATCCTCAGCTTTAAAGTTCGATTTTAGCATTAAAATTGCAGAAGGAAATGTCATTAAGTTGATAAGTACCTCCGACCTTGCCAGCTTCAAATCAGCCTCCAGTGGCGCTATAATTGCCTCGATCGGTGGCATCTCATCATCTTTCTGCGCAGCATGCACCCTTCGAAGTGTGGCTTCAGCAGCATGTTGTGCGGCCAGAGCTGCTTTTTTCTCTTCATTTATTTTCTTGTTCTCTAAATTCTGAAATATTTTAAGTAACTCAAAATTACATTATCAGCATTTATTTCAAATCTCAAAGTTCTGATTTTGCTTTTTTGTTTTTGAAAGGCGGTGAAGAAAAGGAGCTGAAAATAGCAATTGAAAGCCAATTCATGAAAACTTAAACAACCTGACATGTACCTTGCTTTCAAGGAGAGCTTCTGTGGCTTTTAGCTTTTCATCTACTTTATTTAGCTCGTCAGTTAGCTGAAAGAGAATTAACATGAAGAAATAGTAAATAAGCTTTTCTGGATCTATATTCAATTTATTTATACATATAATCAATTCATCATAAAACAAATAGCTAAAACAAGTAAATAGGGAGATTTAAAGAACATAAGGCAATTTGTGTAAAGTGACACTTCAAAGCATTTGAACCAATTAATAGAGATATTTAAATTGACGTACCTCTTCAACCGCCTTCTCTCTAAGGCGTTCAGAGTACTTCAAAGCCTTTATTTCTGTATTAGCCTCTCCCAGCGCTCTATCTTTAACTGCAAACTTGAAACTTACTTTAATGAGAAGTCCATTTAATTTTAAATTTTAATTTTTTGTTCTAAAAAGCAAATTAGTATGAAGTTTTTTTGTGAGGCTCTTTCCTTCATCAAGGGGGCGATTGCTGCTTCAGGCTTTAGATAATAATAGTGCACAACTTAAATAGCCACAAAGTTATAATAACAAAAAAATCACCAAAATTCATGAGGGGCAGAAGCAGGTCCAATAATATTGTACTGAAGAAGAAACCAAAAAGAAAAGAAGGAAAAAGGAAAAAGAATGGACTAAAACACAATATTCTTCAATGTAGTATAATGTGCTCTTTGATAGGCCAATAGACGAAGCAACTAGTTGACCAAAATCATTGAAGAGAAGATTGAAATGCTAAGCATTAAGGGAAAAAAATTACTTTTTCATGTAGGCAACTTTTTTATCTCCGGTATTTATTCAACATAAGTTTTGCAGTTTCTGTTTTATTTATTTAGACACACACTCCACATCTAATGGGCATAGTTATGAAAATCTAAACCAAACGCCTTATGACACCTGTAAACAACGGATAGCCAAAGAACAGGGTATTATTACACAATAAAAAACCTGCATATTTAACCGGGTGATTTTTCTCTGTTTTTGCCACCAACCAAACCAAACCAAACCAAACCAAAGATGGTTGTAAATTTTAATATTTTCTAGACTTTTAGTTTCATAATTTCAAGGCCACATCCGGGTGATAACTAAAAGGGAACAAATTGGTTTTGTGAATCAATAATGTCAACCATAAAAAATGGTATAAGATTAGTCATGGCCACTGACATCGTACTAACAAGGTCAAACTATAAATCTCAAAGCATAACAAATACAAGGATGCTTATTGCTTGACAAGAGAACCATGACACCTCTTTAAAATGGGAAATGATGTGCCTAGTCCATTATGAGGGCAAGTGGAGAGGGACCAATAAATTTGTTTTATTGTTCACAGTCAGCACACCCACATGCTGTCCAAATTGTTCTTTCCAAGCTTTCCTTTCTTGATGGAAATTTGTCTTCTAAGGCCAATACTACACGACATTGTCTGCATGTTTGGAGTCTTGCCCAAATTCCACGTCGTTTCTCATTCCATTGGAGGAAAAAAAAATCCTGTGACCACCATCACACAAATGCAGTTGTCCCAAGTCATGTGCAATGGAATCAATATTTTGAATTTGAATTTCAACAGAACACATTTAATCCTCTCTCTATATGTGATATCTACAAAAGCCAAGAACATAAATCATCACATCTGCAAAGGTAGCTTTAAAATTTGAATCTTAATAGGTCAATTCTTTCAGGTCACTGTAACAAAATTTCAAAAATAACTAGTAATTACATTATTTAAAATATGATAACATTATTATTACTAAAAAATATGACAACATTTAGCATATTCATACTGAAACTGAGGAAAATTCTCCATCGTATATTTAAGAATTAAACAATATCAATTCTCCAATTAAACGTCAACCATTTCACCCCAAAAGAAAACAAATCAAAAAAGAAAAAGAAAAAAAGTATTCCAGAAAAACAAAAACCTTCGAATATAAAACAGACCTCGTACTTCATTCTCAAGGCGAGTGAGCTCCACACGCACCGGATCGGAGCCATGTAATAGGGTAACAATATCATCCACCTCCGAACCAGCTTGATATAAACCCGCCGATGACTTCTTCTTCCCCTTCAACGGAGCCGATAACGTCTGCCTCTGCTGCTGTTCCGTATCTCCACCGCCGTTATAATAACTTCCCATCCGATCACAAAACACGCTCACAGAATCCCAATTTTTTGGAGATTACGCTAAATTATAGGAATTGCTGTTCCCTGTCTCTATGTGTATATAAATATATTTATATATAAAAAAAACTTGAGATTTGAAGTGTAAGTATATAGAGAGAGAGAGAGAGAGAGAATGAAAGATCACTGTCAGTTCAGTTCTTCTGTAGAGAGAAGGAGAAGGGGCTGGGTTTGCGTTTATATAGAAGAAGATTAAAGGGGGTTTAGGCGGGGTTTAAATTAGATTAAATTAAAGTTTTTGTATTTCATGAAGTTATTATTGGCTGTAACGCAGAACACCTAATACCGTGGGCCTGCACACGTTTTAAAGGAAGATATTTCTGGAGCTAGAGTTGTTTAATTATTCTTTTTAATTAGTCAATAGAATTGGGTTAGACAAGTTTAAAACATTTTATTAAAGTCTCCCTCCACGATAATTTGATATCCAACGGCCACATTTGATTAACGGTCACTGCACACACCATTTTTGTGGTCCATGTACAAAAGTAGCCCCAATTTACCGTTGCAATTGCAAAATGGACACCACCAAAAGTAAATTTGTTAAAGGAGAATTTTGCAGTTGTAGCCCCAATTTTGCAAGTATCCACTTTTGAACTAAGAGAATATTGTACCCATTGCTGCTATGTTTTGAATCGAAAAAGTAAATTGAACTTTTCCTTTCCCTCGACTCCAATTGTTTGGTGGAATGTTATTGGTGCTGAAGTTCGTCTTTGCATGCTTGAATCAAAGTTGAAGTATCGAGCAGACAATATAGCTTATGTCCATCACGAGAGGAATTGTGGTGGGTTTAGCCTTGAAGTTTGAGTTGCGATTAGGGGTGGCAATCGAGTCGAGCGGCTCATCGACTCAACCGCTCGGCTCATTGGCAACTAGGGCTCTTATTTGGATAAGCCCGGGCATGAGTCCAGCAAGCCTACTTGGTAGGCAAGCCGAACCCGCTCGGCTCGTGGGCTCACAAGCCTAAAGTTCACGAGCAGCTCGTGGGCTCGAAAAATAATTGGAACGAAAGATTCAAAAAAAAAAAAACTCTTGAACTCGTGCTGGTGGATCGAGCCGAGCTTGGGCCTTGAGCATGAGTCGAGCTCGAGCTTTGCTCATGTTTGAACGAGCTTGAGTTCGACTCGTCCCTTTGCCACCCGTAGTTGCAATGGTGGATGTCTGGAAGATATGCACATTATGGTTTGGGATACCTAGCGAAGAAGATAATTGTGTTTTTTATTTTTTTCATTTTTAATTAATTAAATGTTGAATATTATTTTCCCCTTCCTTAAAATATACCTAGCGAAGAAGATGATTGTTTTTTTATCTTGTTTTTCATTTTTTTCATTTTTAATTATTTTTAATTAATTAAATGTTGAATATTATTTTCCCCTTCTTTAAAATAATTAAATACGTGTCAAACAATGATCCTTTGATCAACAACTTGCCTTAAAACGAATCCTTCCAGAGGCACTTCTACCACACATTTACTCACACTTACTGAAGATTTTGTGACGTAATTGCTACGATTTAAAGGTTTGAAATTACGGAGCACATTTTTCTAAAGTTTTGGAACCTCAATTTCAAGATTTTGAATTGGGAGTACATAAAGATTTTGAATAATTCTCACTACTACGAAAATTTCACGTCTTGGTGAAAAAAATATATCCAGTTGAAAAGTAAATTATTCATTTTTAACATAAATAATCTGCTCTCCGAGTCATCCAATCAAGACCAACCAAATTTAAATTATTATTAGATAGAGATTGTTGGGGCAGGTGTCGTAGGTTAACTAAACATCTCAACTTCAGTGTCATTTGGCATATGAGAACTAGCGTTGTTGGGGTTGGAGTGCTCTCATTCTCAGCCTCTGTTTGGTTGATAGAGGGACTTTAAAATTTATTATTATTTTTTTTTAAATTCGTTCCTAACAATATGTATATTCCCAACAAAATAATTTTGTGTGCCGATATATAATTTTTTTCTAATTTTTAACCATGCATTCTCCAGAAAAAATATTTTTCTTAAATTATATTCCAAAAAAAATCTACATCAAGCAGGATCGTAATATATTTATTTACTAATTCTATATTTGAAACATTTTTCTCATTCATATAATTATTTATTAAGTCACAAAATAAAATTTGTGTTAAAACTCTGTTGATCGTCAAATTTTTAAAACGTGTCATTTCAGTAACCAAACTCCCTTTTTGATATAAATGAGAAACTTATGACGTATCGAGTTTAAGTCAATATTCATGTGTTTGTTATTATATAAAATAAATGTTAGAGCATCTCCAATAGTGCTCTTTAATTTAAAATTTAAAGAGCTTCTTAAGAAATTTTAAAAATAAAGAGTCAAATTTTTTGTACGACTCCAAAATCAATCTCGATATTTGTTCATTATTTTGCCTTCTCCCATATACAGTTATTGTTCATCATTTTCCCCTCTTTTATGTAATAATAAACGAAGCATTGTATAGAACTACATTTCGAAGTCAAATCTACTATTTATGTTAACTTTAGAAGATAAATAATGTATTAGAAACCTTGAAAAGATATGTGTGTCTCTAAAATAGAGAAAATGAGGATAATAAGGATTCTATTGAAAGTACTCTCTTAAGGTGTCTAATAGTGTTGTTTGTGAGACCAATTGTCTAGAGTTAGATGACATTAACAATCGAAAAATGCCTGGTCGACTTCTAATTTTATTTTGACAACACTCGTATGAGTATTGTAACTCTTTCAATTAACTTTAGTTTAAATTTAAACGAACATCATTTTGACTGATTTTTGTCAGTATTGTTATTGGGTTGACATGAGTCTTGTATTTACTAAATCAAGTGATGACTATGTCTCAAATTTCAAGAATTTCATAAGCTTAGAGACCAATTATTTAAAAAGAAAAAACCCAATAAACTTTTTAAGGCGTTGAAGATTGGATTTATAATTGCATATGATTAATTAATGTTAGAAATTGAAGATTAGAATTAGTGTGTGTGGGCATCATGGCAAGTAGGGCAGGGTGGGTGTGGTTGTGAAGAGTAGAGAATGAAAAATGCAAAAGGTGATGGATTGATGGGTAGCGAAGAGAGAAAGCAAAAGCAAGACAAGAGCACATGGGGAGTGGGGAATTACTAGGAGAGAAAGCGTAGGAATGCACATGCGATGGAATGCGATGCCTTAAAAGACAAAGCGTGAAGCTATCTTCTACATTTGCATCGTGGGTCCGCATATCTATTCGATTTCCCTTCCACATGAGCCCACGAGCGGCTTGACCGAGCAGCCGTTCAAAAACTTTTTGGGTTTGGCTCACACTTGGACTAGTTCGAGCCCGAGAAGCTAATGAATCAAGTCCATATGAGTCTAGTGGGCAAACCAACGAGCCACTAGGCCCAACTGCCACTGCTACAATGGTCGATGTATTGTTGAGACATGAATGATTATATTTTGTTTGACTTACATGTTTAATACGTTAAATTGAACTGTATTTTATATTATCGGCCTGTTTGATCATCATTTTTCAAAAATGAGAATGAAAAATATAACCGTTACGGAACGCACACAAAAGATAGAAAGTCAAATATAATGATTTGATATAATGGATAACGATCATATTTTTTAATTTTGTAGTCAAAGAATGGAAATCAAACGGGGGCTATATGTATATTGCCAAGAAGATAAAACATGTTGGGACAAAACTTCATCGGCAAATTCAATCTTGCAGCAATCGACCATAACAAGTTGCAGTTTTCTGTTAATGTCAAAATTTTGAGTGTTTCTTTAGTTACTAATATGAATATAAAATGTCAAAGATTGTTAAGTTATGAAGCTCAATTATTTGCAATGTGCAAAATATGAACGCAGATCAACTTTCAAGTAAGGTTGCCATCGAGGTTGAAAGATGCAAGAAGCCTCCTTCGGCCGTGTAGGGGCCAAACCTCTCAGACCAAAATTTTATTAAAGATAATATAGAAATTCTACACTTGTAATTTCGATTTTGCCATAATTTTCTCATAAATAGATAGTCATCATCATGATCTTGTATTATCGTAAAAAAATTCGAGAGAAATTAAAGAAAATAGGGTGCATATTATTTCTCTTGCGTGCTTTTTTACGTCTTTATTTGCTTAATACGAAGGTATTACTCAGTAGGGTTTTTAATTCTCAACAAAACTCAATATTGTTTGGTGAAGAGCTTACAAGGATGCATCGCACTATCAAAATTTGGGTGTAACAGTACGTGACTCAAATCATTACCACCAGACATCGCAAGTGAATACATGATTTCACTTTTGAAATTTGACAGTTATGATTCAGAGTGGACCAACCTGCATTGAAAATGAAAGTTCAAAAGGACCAGAAAAACATGATTGAGGACTCGTGTGCTTTATTTTGGAAATTTTGGGGACTCAGGCACCATATTTCCATACAAGAAAGACAAGCAGAAGGTTCAAAATACCCAAGTAATCAAACAAAACTAGATAATGAAAAGAAAAGGCTAAATCACAAGATTGCACAAGCTACCTACCCAACCAGTAAAATCCAGAAAATCAACAACAGCACAACGCATACCCGGTATATATGTATAACGGATCTCAGGAATTTATCCGCCAAAAGGGTTCCATATAGAAATCACTTAGGCCAGAAACATTCGAAAAAACTTTAAACGATCTTGAAGCATCATATGGTTTGAGTAAGCAACAATATTGTTGTTAAGGGATAAAATCTTACATCGAATCAATTTATAAGAGTTTAAGCCACATCTCGTACTAAGGTTAACACTTTAAGATGAAACCCCAAATCTTAATATGATATCAAAGCGCATTAAGTTTCAACAAGCAATTCAATACGATTAAGACACATCGAATAAAAATGAAAATATTGACCAATTTATAAGAGTTTAGACTACTTTTCCTAACAAGGTTGACCTTTTAAGATGGAATCTCAAATCTTAATATTACGCATCTTAGTTCGGTTAAGAGAGTAAATTATCATCCAACAGAATATTTAACCAACGTCGTATAGCTTCATACCGTAACCGTAACTTCTACAATTGTGATGAGCAACACAAATGAAGCATATATAGTTTAAGAAATTTACTCGTACCTTACTCGACTAATGAAATAGGCCAAATACACAGCATGCAGATATGCATCACCAAGACGAGGGAAGAGGGACGGGGAAAAAAATATTGCAACACCTAAATAAAGTTCCCTTGTGTTATATTATTGGGATCAAATATCTTTACACATGACCATCACTACTCGACTAATATTTTTCTGGGCTTTAGTAAAGAACAACACAATTGTGCTATTGATTCCATCTCTCCTGATCACAGAAATAACATAAAAAATCTTACTACTAAACATATTTTACATGTACTAACAAGGAAGAAACAACCTCACTGCATTTTACAAGGACTGAAGGCTCCGGCATTGGCCATTGGTTGCATAGAATCCCCCCCATACGGAGAGGTAATGCATATTCTCCTTTATCTTCGTTTCTTAGTGTCAATCTTCAGCTAATCACTCTCGTGGCCTTGCAAGCCATAGAGAACTCAGGGCTCGAAGCCTTGAAAAATAATCGTGTAACAAGAGAACAGCACGTGCTGATTGTCTGACTGTCAAGATACGATGCATTTGCTGGAACGTTTGTTGCCTCAAGTTGTCCGCCTAGTCAATGTCAAGAAAGAAAAAATCAGTTACGAATTTCTACAATATTTTGCTTCAAAATGCCACTTAATTTTATGCAAGACGTGAAAAGTTACATAATGACCTATATCTATGCAAGAAACGAAAATGTCCACTCCCCATTGACAACCAAAGGAATACTCAGATAAGTCAAAGCTCTCATGGAAGTTACTAAATTAGACAAGCCCATGTGCAAGAAGAACCCAGCCGGCGGCCAGGCCTGTTTCACTCATCTTCTACTGCACATACTATAGGAAAAACACAAGCAGCTTGGAAAATCACGAGTAATCATTACTCATTAGGTGTATGATAAAGTTACATAATCTACTTTCTTTTATAAATTTATAATCAATTACAAAATACAAACAGAAAAAAGCAATGCAAAAAGGGAACGAGGACAAGTACGGCCGACTCAATGAAAAGGATATATTACCTGATGCAGAAAATCGTCAAGAGTCCCCAATTTCCCCATGGCCATTGCCATCTGACCCATATAATTAGCAACATTTGACCCTTCAGGTACAGATGATCCATTGGCCAATGTTTCCGCTAGAGATTGCTGCAGCGCATCCATACCTTGTGAAAGGGCATCTTCAGCTTGATGTGATAATTGCTGCAAACTATAGATCCGTGCTAACTGTTGCTCCGTCCATGGCTCTAGTTGATTCACAATAAGCTGCATTGTGATTGAATGCCAATCAAAAAACAGAAAACAGAAAGTTGTGAAGTGTCTATATATTGTCTTGGATACATATATCAAAATTATTTTTGAATCATAAATTTCTTCATCAGTGGGGAAAAAAAAGCACTAATTGGTTTACCTATTGCACAAATTGAAGATATGTCCAAGGGAAAGATCTATTATTGACGCCTTAATTAACAAACCTATGAAACGTGTAACAATAACAGTGTAAAATCTTGAAAACAAACAGTAGCCTAACATCATTAGGGTCTAGTTAGCACAATGTTGGACCCTACATTCAAAATGCCAGCCCAAAAACCAAATCACTCTAAATATTGATGTATACCATAGAAAAAGGGCTTTCCTACTCTGCTTCTGATTTGTCAGATTATTAGGAAAGAGTTGATACGAATGATTTTGATGCTGAGGGATCGATTGAGAGCACGAGCTCAGCAGCAAGAAAGAAAGCTCCAAAACCAGTAAGGACAGGACGGAAAGGAGAAAAGAACAGCTATCACTTCATAAACTCAGATTTACCAATGCCCTCCCCGGTCTAGTTAGCACAAAGTTGGACCCTACATTCAAAATGCTAGCCCAAAAACCAAATCACTCTAAATATTAATGTATACTTGCTATAATTTTTTTATAAATATAAATAAATCTAAATAAATCTAAAGTGATTGGAAAATGGATATAGAGTTAAAGAAACAAGTTCTATCTAACAATTGTTAGAGCAGTAATTCTTATGATCTGCTGGTAGATTTCAGGAGGACAACGTGTTTATAAGATAAATGTAGAGAAACTAAGGATGTTGATATGGATGTATGAAAAAATTGAAATGGATAAAAAAAATATAAGTCAAGTAGGAGTAATGACATCATTTGAGGCTAGACTAAGGGAAGGATAGGTCGAATGGTTAGGACTTGCCTACTTAAAGAAACACTAATTCACAAGAGAAATGGATCTCAATACGAAGTCTAAGGTAGACAAGAATTAATATTACTTCCCCAAATTGTCTTCCTTTAAAATAAAACTCTTTAATTCTCGTACTCATTTTCAACCACACATTCACATAATAAAAAAAATTTGCATGTAAACCCAAAAATTTTTCCCTTTTAATCACTCATTCTCCAAAATATCACCATTCAAACCATCATTTTTTCGAAATAATGGTCATTAAACAGAGCTTAATATTGTTGCAAAAGATTTAATTCCAAGGACATTTCAACAAAAGTAATGATATATCGAATAAAGTGAAAATCAAAAATGAAACAAACTCACAAAAGAAAGCAGCATACAATTAAAAAGACTCACCTTGAGAAGTTCAGTTGGACGAAAACCACCAATCCACATAAAGCACCTTTCTGCAGGTGTTTTCCACATTCCTGACAAGATATGGAATACATCTGCCTTGGCTGCATTACCTTTCAATGTGAAAATTTCATTGAAATGTGTAGTCACATTGTCCACAATATTACGAAGTTCAGTGTCACTTGCATGTGAATTGACTGTTGTCCTCAGCTCATTTATCAGTTTGTTTTGCTCTTCCAACCACCTTGAGTATTCCACATCAAACGCCAAGGCCCCTGTATAAGAAAAGATAAAAATAATAATAATAACGAAATAGCCCAATAAATTAAAGCAAATAAATAAGAGAGATAAAATAAAAGAAAACAAGCTGATCAATTCGCAACATTAAGCATAATAACTTTAACTGTTGTTTGTAATGAATATTTAACACCAAGAAAATAAAAGGCAACAGTAAAATCATGGACAGTCAGTGCCTTGTACAATTGCCAGTAAATTTTTATAATTTTCTATGTCCAAGTACAACCAATCCCTGTCAAGAACTTCATCTGATCACCATGCGGGATTAGTTTTTTCTAGGAGACGTGTCTTTTCACAAAAAATCCCCATTTCCCACTATACCAATCAAATCCAGTGGAAAGATTTGAAATCAACAAAAAAAAAGTACGTGGACCTGAACTATTGGAATTTTCAGATATTAAAATTTGTTTGGACATGAAATTGGAATAAAACGATGAAATCAGCACCTCAAGCATCCATGTTCGTTATGAACTTGAGCAAAGCCATCGAATTCTACGTCAAAAAACTAGACTGCCTTCAATAGTGTTGCAGGTAATTTATGTAGACTATCTTTAAAGCAAATTGTAACGATTTGAAAAATCATTTTATCTTCACTCTGGTTTTATCATCCAGGTTTCAGGAAGGAAAAAATAAAAAAATAAAAATAAATCAATAGGATACGTAAAAAAATACCATACCATTACCACTGCCAGAATGAGATTGATCGCCAGTGCTTGAGATGAATATACCCTACATCAAATAATAACTAATTTTACTAAAGAAATACAAAATACTTCTAAAAAATAACATATTCGTCAAGTTTGTAGGGAATGAAGTCCAAAAAGAAATAAAAACATATATAGTGCATCTATTTAAGTCGAACCTGCTGACGTGCCCGCTGCAGCTCCTGCTCTAGCTGGCTTAGCTTCAGACGGCTATTCTCCAGCTGCTGTACATAGGCCTGCAAAGTTTTAAAAAAATAATAATGATAAAATAATCATTCAATTCAAGATTCTCATCAAGCTATAACGTTATCTTATCCAATGCAAAAGAACAGATTAAACATGAAGAATACCAGTCAAAACTTAAATGACAACGCAGACACCTACTTTTTTCCTCAGTCGGCTTTTCCTAGCAGCTTCACGATTTTGGGCAAGTCTTCGAAGTGTCTGAACATCATGACATAAGAAAGACAATAAACACATTGTCCTTGAACTTACAGAAATAGAGATTAGTTTAAACGTATGACCTTCTGATCGAGGCGCTTTTCTTTTGATCTGTCACTGGAACCGGAGGCTGTAGCAGCTGTGGATTGACCCATTTCAAACTGTGCAAGGAAGAAACATGTTCATCAAAAATGGTGAAATGAGAAATCTTTTCAAATAAAAATTCAATTCTCCAACCATTTTTTCAGCCAAGGTCTTTCATTTTTTGAGTGAAATAGCATAATTGAGATGCAATAACTTTAATTATGAAAGGTTTGTGGCTAAAGTAAGTAATAGGCGTACAAACGCACTCTTAGAAGCCAAAAAAAAAAAAAAGGAACAGCAGGATTTAAATGAGAAAATACCTGCTGATTTTTTTCATCTGGATCCACATCAGTTGAAGTATCTGTATGGGAGCTGGATTCTGCCCTGTTGGACTCTTCCCAGTTCTCATGTTGAGCCCCAGACACAGAAACCGGATTGAGATGCGACTGTATTGCTTGAGACCCCAGAAAAGAAGGGGGAAAACTTGTACTGGTAGAAGCAAGAGACTAAATAACCAAGAGTGATAAAGAAATCAGAAACTGACAACAGTATTCAAATTAAAAAAAAAAAAGAGAAATAATAATGGTGAAGAGAAGCCAAATTACCTTATTAAATGTGAGATTAGGACCCCCCAATTGGCTGGTTATAGTTGGATTAAACACTGGATCTACATTAGGATAACCAGTTCAGATGATATAAAACAATGTGACTTGGTCAATCCAAGTCAACTCTGGAAAAAATGCACTCACTAGGTATGCAAACACACCTCTTTAAATACTATTCATGTCGAGGTTTTAGATTCATAGCAACAGTACATATGCTTATAATTTAAACAGATAGTCTTAACTAAGTGAGTCTTGTACCTCATTTCTCTACATTGAGAACTCAACTGTCCCAGAAGAGACATATAACATCATATGCATTGTCTAGTAGCATGTTTGCATATGACAGTCATTACATTGGAATTCAAAATTATGCTAACGTTAAGTGCAAGGACTTGAGCTTTCACGGTGTTTGCTCCAGCTAGACCAATTTATGGCTTCCTCCCCTCCCCTCGCCTCCCCGCCCCTCCCACCCCATACCATATCTTCCCGTACCTTTTTGTCTTGCCCTTCTTAGCCTGAGTTTCCATCATCAAACTTTAGTACTAAATGACCTTGCAAAAATATTATACTTCTCTCTCCTAAAGATTTGAGACAGTTTGGAATAAGACTGCCCAGATCAAGATTTAAACTTGCCCATGACCTTTTGGAAATGCTATGGCAATTTTAGAAAGTTATGAAAACAGGTGACAACGTAGATTTCATCTAATTAGAGCTTAGTTCACTAATTCACTGTAAAGTTCAGTCTGTCATTCATTTTCTGTCAACCCATGCTTCGTAAGTCACATCCATTGACGATTAGTCAACAGCTCAAAATGTTATTTCTTGTAAATTGTGGAAACTTTCAATAATTAATGAAGATAAAACACTGAACAAAGAATATGAACACCAGAACTAACGGTAGATAAAAGAAAATATTTATGAAGCATACTGCGATTGACATTAGCAGCATCTCCAATCGGGAATCCAAGATATTGCTCAAGGACCCCAAAGTCATTAGCTTGTGAAGATTGCATTGTATTCGCTGCTGCTTGCCTGCAAGCCACAATTGAACTACCTAACAGTTAACAGAATAGTAATCTGCATAACTCAAAATTTTTATCAGTTCTTGAATCATATGGTGGTAAGATCTTATTACATTTTCTTGCAGCGCAATCCTTGAGTAAATCACTGAAAAATTTTGGGGTGTGACTGAAATCTTACAAAATGGTGAAAATAGGTAATATAACTCCTGAATATACATACATATAAGCACGATTCAACATTCAAGATTTCACGTAGAAGTCATGATTTTTTCCTGTTCTTTTCATCAGCCAACCTCATAATTATAACAATTTTAAGGGGAAATATTGCAAAACTTCGTAATTTCTAACTGGAGAATGAGCGAATATTCAAGGTATGGAAAAAAAAATTGTAAAGAAAGTTACGTGTGATTGGAAACTGGCGTCGAAGAGATGAAGCTTGGTTTCCCGGCAGTAGCACTTCTTTTTACCTTTGCACCACCTTCAACAGTTGTACTACCCATAAATCACCATCACCTCCTCGGATATTCAAAATCAAAAATCTTAAAAAACAAACCAAGAAGGCCCAAAAACTGAAAGAAATTAAATTCTTGAAACCCTTCTTACCCAGAAACTTTTATAAGACAGAATCAACTTGGACACAACATAAAATTACAAGCACAAATCGAACCAGCAAAATATACACCCTTTAATAATCAAGAACCCCAAAACCCATAAACCCTTTTAGCAAAAACTTCTAAAAAAGGACAAAAAGGAAGATAAAACCAGGACACAGAAAACAAAAGACTGCTTAAACAACTGAGCAAAACCAGCTGCTGAAAGATTGGATCTTTTTGACTAATATAAATGACTTCTTGAGAGAGAGAAACTGAAATCATATACTTCCTTTAATCCAGATATTTCTTCGCCATTCAAAAGTCTCTGATTCAGCATAAAATTCAAGGGTCCTTGTTATGGTTCTTAAAAAAGCTTTCTTTTTTGGTTTTTAGTACTTACTTTATTTATGCATCTACGAAGATAGAGGACGTGACGTTCACATCATTCCAAAATATGCGTTACTTTCATTTTTCCACTTTTCAAAGCATTTCCATTTTCTATTACTTTTCTCGGCTATCTTTTTATATTCATAGTTCAAACCCTTATTTTTAACTTGAATTGCACTTGAGCCTATGAAGTCTTGAAAAGTTACAGTTGACTCTCAAGTTGATGGGATCTCTCTATGAAAATCGTTGGAGTTTGATTATAGATTTAGAGTTGATTTTAAAATTTAAAAGGGTAAGATAAATACATATACCTTGGGTAAAAATTCTATAAAACTCATTTTATAAATTATGTTTTTAACAATACATTCTCTCGATAAAATAATTTTTTAGCGACATTCTCTAAAAATATCAATTTTTCACAAAATATATTCTTAAAAAAATCTGCAACAAACAAACTCATAATAATATAACAAAGATGTAAATATACTAAACATTGACTCTTGATTCATTTCCTTTTCCTAACATCAGAGAAAATAAAAATCTATAATTTATTATAATGGAGATTATTATGTGTGCAAATTATAGTTATAAAGTTCGGCATGATCCAATCGGACAGAAAATGGGCATTGGGCAACCCAAGCCTATGACCAAGGCCGGATTGTCTAAGTTAATAGGTCAACCACTAACCTGATCAAGATATAATATTTACACGAATTTGACGAAAGTACTTGCATATTATTCTAGTGAATTTGTCTTTATATAGTATACAGTGAGCTAAAGAAGAAATACACAATTAGTTCAATTTGTTGTACATAGCAGATTTGATTGGCAGAGTGATTCTTGCTGAATTCCCTAAGAATTGATCAAATTCCTAGTTAATAGGCAGTTTTTGCAGTCTTAGAAGAGTTCTATTTTGTCAAATAGGATCCTGTTGTCATTTATGTGCTAATAATATATATATGATACCGTCAATTGTTATCTTCAAATATTTTTTGAAAAAAAAAATTATAGTCTTAAAAACGTAAAATATGATTAGACAGTAAGGTTAAACTTCATTTTTTTATGAGCATAAGCAAGTCCAAGAGTAAAAAAGCGTATAAAGCGTGTAATTAGATGACAAGACCAAATTTCGCATCTAGGCACCTTTTTAGAACATTGCATTTTACTAGAATTTTTTAATATAAAATAATTAATTCATGGATTTGTTATGGCTTGTTTGACACCCATTATTTGAAAAATCAAAGAGTTTTGAATACTATTTTTGGGAAATATATGATTAAAAAATAAGAAAACTTTAGTGATTTGTGTATAGAATATTTTATTGTGTAAATATGTGGTAAAAAATGGTATTATAGAAAATAATTTAAATTTTTAAATGTTGTCAAACAGGGGCTATGGAGATATTATTTCTAGTGTGTGTGTGTGTGTGTAATAGCTACTAAAATGTTCGTACATAATAGAAATCTATAGTATACAAAATTTTAAAATTAAATGTCAACATTATAGTAACAATAAGTTTATAATATCAGTAATTTATAAATATAAAAATAATTAGTAACAATTAACTTAAAACTTTAATTTTGTCATGCAAAATAAATAAATAAATAAATAAATTATTCTATGAAATATTTAAATAATTTCCTAAGCAGTGACCCATAAATTCAATCAATAACTCAGCAATTCAATCGTTGATCGATTATCTAGTACCTTGGTCAAGTCAATGTTTAGATCAAGTCTAATAACAACTAAGATGATGCAAATGATCTTTTGCTAATAATTTAGTTAACATTAAATATGAAATTAAAAAATTAGGCCAATCATGATCACATTAGTCTATATAAATTCTAAAGGAGATAAACAGAGGGATAAATGGTAAGACTTGACATTAGGGATGTAAATGAGTCGAAGGTCGCAACTTGGGTTTCGAGACATTTCCGGTCCAAGCCAAGCCGGGCTAAAGTTCAACAAAACAACAATGCTCAACTCGAGATTCAGGCTCGATTTTTTTTAAGTCTTGAAATTTGAATTTTCTTTTAATGATATTAAAAAAAAAGACTTATATAAGCTGCCTGTGACATTGCTACCAGTGTAAACAGGCAGCTACATGCAAGTAGCACAAGCTATATACAAGCAAGCTTTGCATACAATGTGGCCCATGTATCACAGGCCATTTTGGCCAACCGTAAGGGTTGTCCCGTGCAAGGTCAATGCTGAAAAATAAGGCTTGATCTTGTCGAGCCTCGACGAAGCCATGGGCTGTTTGAGTCAGTGAGCCAAATTAACATCCCTACTTAACATATTATTCGTATGGTTTTTCTATCTCTCAATTCCTTATTAACTTGAGGGGCTTTTACGTGATGGGTATCAGGAGTTAGATAAATTATTTTTCACTACGTACCAAATCTAAAAAAAATGCTATCTTGCAACTCAAATAGTAAGCAGGATATATTATTTCTAGAAGTATAACTAAAAATGTGCTAGAGTGGTATACTAAATTTTGAATAGGCTTGAGTGGTTTAAATTTTCCTTTTCAGGGTGCACTGCAAAGACTTTGCAATTAATAAACGCTTAACTTTTGACAAAATTTTAGTCCTCATCATCACGATTATAAAGTTTCCTTAGAGACAATTTTGACATAAGCTGATTGTGTTTAAACTAGACTTTTTGTACCGACAAATTGTGTTTTCCATTTCAAAAAGCCTATAGGCCCGTTTGGTAGGGATTTTTTGCCCCAAAAAATTGATTTTTTGACCGTTATTTTACTATTCAAGCCATAATTTTTTACTTCTTTTCTTACATGTGGATCCCACTTTTCTTCTAACGGTCAAAAAATCAATTCTCAAAATCCCTACCAAACGGGCCCTATAATTTCTCTCAATGCTTGTTAGACGCATATTTTTCTAAAATTATTATTTTTTCAAATATATTTTCAATCATACATTTTGTAGGATCTTAATTTTTTCACTTTTTAACTACACAATCTCAAAAAAATAAAATAAAATAAAATCACTTAAAAAAACTGTGCCAAATAAGTTTAGTTTTTTTGAACAAATGTTATGTATATATATGACCATTGCTAGAAGCAACACAACATTAGCGTAATAAATAGTGGTCTGCCCTCTGCGGCATAGCTTAGTGGTGAAAAGAATAGGAGTGAGGTTATCTCATACCTTGCTGACAGCCGCAGTGTAGGGGTTCGATTCCTGAAATATGGAATTTGACTTCTTATAGGCGCAGTGTACAGGCAGCTCTTGTTCCTTAACCTGTTGGGGCACATCCCACGGTTTACCTCCCTCACAAAGCTCTAGGGGCGGGGCGGTGGGGGCCTCAGGGTTGGGGTTCAACTTTTTTTTTTTAAATAAATAGTGGTCCATAATAATAAATAAAATTAAGTAAGTGGGCACTTCTGCAATTTCGAGGTCTTGAAGGGTTCTTTGTTTATTTCTATAAAATATGTTTTAGACAGAGTCCGAATACAACAATTATTACCAAATTTCCTTTTCCTCTGCCGCCATTGAGGAACATTGACCCGTAATCTTTTACACGGGGCAAATGACCATCATACCCTTTGCACCATTTTGGTTTAAAGAATATCCTTACTCTGAATCTTTATGTGCCCAACCAAACACGGCGTAGGGAAGCGTTTGGAATCATTGAACTTGACCGAACTATATGAATCGATTATGTAGGATTTGCTGTGTAATCTTATTCAAGATGATCAGTCTAGAGTTGAGTAATGTGAAAGTTAATATATTTTTAAACTGTGACAAATCCAAAAATGTTGAATTAATATATTTGTACAGAAGAAAGTTTCACAAAAGATCGATAGAATACTCTCATGATATGAGGCTCATCGTGAAAAAAATTGCCAAAAAAACCCCCCACGAACCCTCTATGTGTGTGTTCTGACAGGCTTCTGTGAAGAAACACTCTATACATCAAGCAAAATTGAAAAATGTTAGTGAGCCGAGTCAATGGTCACAATAGCGAGATCGTATATTAATATTTAATTAACAAATATTAAAAATTCTTCAATCAAAATATAAACACACTAAAACGTAAATATCATATATTTTGATCTCGTTTTCTAGGATGACATGAACAATAGATATCGAACCCACTTGTGTACATGTAAACAAATTTCAACACGTATGGCTAGATTGCTAATCGATAATAACTCCGAATTTAGACGTGAGAGGAACTTTATCACACGAGACATATATTTGGGCTATGGCAATATATATTGGGAATTATGTAATAATAACCAATCGTAAACAATTCAAAGAAAGCCAAGTAAAACTAAACTCTAACAAAGCAAATATATAATCCACAAGAGAGAAGGCAAAGGCTTACCTTAAATGTGTTGAGTTGCATTACCCTTCAAATGATACAAGAAGGGGATATTTATAGTATTATATATGAAATTGTATCTGTTGGATGAAAATACATGTGACTGCATCTCCGGAACCGAAGCGTCCCATCTTAGATATTAATTCGAATTTATTAGCCCGTGACGCATTTAATGCTCTAATAGAGAGCAAAATTGACAAGATTTTGACATTCCACTCATTACAAAAGTCACATCCATCATTCCAAAAGGATCATATATAAATTCAAGACCTTCATGCGTGGGTTGTCAACTGTTGTGGTTGAGCTTCGATTTTGACTTTCGTCGAGCCTCGTCACTTCGGCAATCAGATGAACTTAAGGCCCGATGTAGCTTCAAGGGTTTGTTCGTTAACATGAGATTGCTTCAATCAATACGACTTCTGCTCTTCGAATATAAAGGCTTCAATAATCCACGTGTCTTCATTGCAAGGGCTTCAGGAGGTGAGTTACATGGAGCGTATGTGGTGGGGCATAACAATATACGTAAAAAAAATATAATTCAATACAACCTAAAATAATAAGAAAAAATTCATGATACAATCTCATTTCATAACTATAAGCTCAGACAACTGTATTTTCTGAGTTTTCATATT